AATGACCTCAACAGTGTCTCCCAACGGGTGGGCCTTAAGATGAACATGGACAAGACGAAGATCATGTCTAATGTCCATGTCACGCCTATACCGGTTGTTGTTGGGAGCACTGAGCGCGAAGTTGTTGACGAGTATGTTTACCTAGGACAGTTAGTCCGGCTAGGTAAGTCCAACTTCGACGCAGAGGTCAATCGGCGAATCCAACTCGGATGGGCAGCGTTCGGGAAACTTCGGCAAATCTTCTCGTCGAATATACCTCAATGTTTGAAGACTAAAGTCTTCAATCAATGTGTGTTGCCAGTGATGACCTACGGAACCGAGACTTGGCCCTTCACTGCTGGCCGTATAAGGAAGCTCAAAGTCGCTCAGCGAGCTATGGAGCGGGCTATGCTCGGTATTTCTCTGCGTGATAGAGTTCGTAACGAAGACATCCGCAGTAGAACCAAGGTAACCGACATAGCTCAGAGGATTAGCAAGCTGAAGTGGCGATGGGCCGGCCATATAGCTCGTAGAACCGATAACCGTTGGGGAAGAAAGGTTCTCGAGTGGCAGCCTCGTACTGGCCATCGCAGTGTGGGACGACCCCCCACTAGATGGAGTGACGACCTGTGCAAATGTGCGGGAAGTCGATGGATGCAGGTGGCTCAAGATCGTACTTCGTGGCAGTCTATGGGGGAGGCCTATGTTCAGCAGTGGACTCAAACAGGCTGAAATGATGATGATGATACATACAAACATCCCTCTTGAATCACTCTATCTATTAAAGAAAACCGCATCAAAATCCGTTGTGTAGTTTTAAAGATCTAAGCATATATACGGACACACAGACAGCGGGAAGACTTTGTTTTATACAATGTAGTGATGATAAAAGGGATAGTTCGACTCGCAGTTGGCCGGAATGAAAATGTATGAGATAGAACTCATACATTTTCATTAAATCAGCCTATTGCAGTCCAGTGCTGGACATAGGCCACTTCAAGGGCACGCCTCTGTGCCCACTCTTCTGCCTTCCTCATCCAGCTACTGCCAGCAACTTTTTACGTCTATGGTCTACCAGACATTTAAGGTCCCAAATTTTTTACTACTATATGGAAAATTCGAAAAAACAGGTCAAATAATTTAAAAGTAACTGGAGGTCCGAGCTTTGCTCGGTTTGTTTTTTTTTTGGTATATCGTGTATTTTGGAAATTACATATAGATACAAATTACTAAGTAATGAAATATGCATAATATGTTTGATCTTACCGACTTAATAATAAGAAAATATGAACTGGTGTTTTTTCGGTGAAATTTACCGTCGTATTCAAATAATATTTTTCATTCCCTGAAAACTGGGATAAAAAGACATTTTCTAAAAATGAAACCTAGTCAGATCGATTTTTCGCCCCCGAATCTACGCACATACTAAATTTCATGAAAATCGCTGGAGCCGTTTCCGAGATTCCAAATATATATATATATATATATATAAAATTGGAAGTATATATATATTTATACAAGAATTGCTTGTTTAAAGGATAAGATAAATCATGCGAATGTAACAAGTCACTTTTTATAAAGTTGTCGGCGATAGAAAAGACGTTTCATGCAAACATTGAAGCGTGATAAAGCACTGTGCAAATACCTGAACCGACCGCTGTAATTAAAATTCCCAAGCAGTTCGAGCATTCCCCTTTGGATGCCGCCGCGTTTGACGGAATTACTGCAGCTTTATTTCTGAGGGTGGAACAGAAAAAGACCCTCTCGAGTGTTATTTTAATGCAAAATAAAAAGAATTTAAAGTAAACAAGGAATGGAAGAAGGCTAGTGGTATTGAATTATGACTGCATTTTTGATGATTCTTTAGATAGTGTTTTAATTGTATAATTTTATACTTATCTATTTTGTTTTACAAACAGCTTTTACTGTGTAGGCTTAAATTGCTAAAACTTTACAGTACCTACTGTTTTGTCTTATAATCCAGTCTACAGATACTGTATACAATTAATCAAGGGTTAATCTTCGAAAGACCCTCACCTCGTACGTTCGTAGAGTTCGTACCCACTAAAACACCCTGGTGGCCACCTTCTGTACGGCCACCTTCTTCGAGGGACTCTGGGATCTCCAACGGAACGCACCGGTGTCCCTCGGTAACTAGCGACAGTCCTACTGCCCTATCAACGCAGCATCATCTGTGCCCAGCCCTGTAGTCGCGGGCTTATAGAATAGGGCTAAGGTATTCCCTGCCTGTCGTAAAAGGCGACTAAAAGGGGACACGGATTGGCAGCAGCTCGAAGTGGTCTCGAGCTGCTGCAAGATGGTGAGGGAACCGGGGAAGGCATCCTTCTCCGGGGAGTGCTCACGCGCAGTACTCAGATTATTTAAATGATAACACAACCTGGAAATGAATTAATCGCGCTAGGCAATTTCAAGTGGACTTAAATGCATTGTAAACATGCTTCTTTGTCATAAAAATTTACATAATGGTAAAAAAGTATCCTGTCGAGTTTCTTTCGCTGGTTCTTCTCAAGTCAGTTGTTTCTTTCCGAACCCGTGAGTTTAAGAATCAATCAAAGTATAATATAATGCTACTATGTTGAATAAAGATATTTGAATTGTAATTAAAAACGCCGTGAAGTAACTTCGGGCCAAACTTTATAGTCTAGGTCATGGGTCTATTATTGTAGACTTGTATAGTGCACTATTAGGTTAAGTAACCTGTTATGATAGTGTAAGGTTTTGTAAATAAATAAATAAATTAAATAATTGCCGCAACTTTACCCACCGTTGGTGTAATCTAAGGAAGGAAGCGGGCGAATCTAATTGCCAGTACAGCAGGTAAGTTTTTGTTCTGTCAGTGTCAGGGGAGCTGCCAAAGTTGGCCCATAACAGCCCGATCGAGTTTATTTATTGCTTCCTCGGAACTTCGCATTGCATAACTAGCGCACGGCTGATAATTTTTAGCACGGTTTATAATAAAATGATTGTAAAATAAGAAAGATTAACATAAAAACAACGAAAATGTTATTAATTAAGTATTAGTATAAGATATATTGTGACAAATAATCGTTTATTCTTATAAGACTAGATCTTATACTGATCACTGATCTTTATCCATTAAAGATGAAACTCAAGGTGAGTAGATCTTGTAAGCGTCAAAAAATTGTCTAAAAATTTTTCGCTGCTAACAGGTTTCAAACTTGCGCATTCCGCGTTAGACACGCCATTAAGTATAGCCACCTATATTCTTACCACACAAAATCGACGTCTACCTACTATAGTTTATTGTGTGCTTCCCTTACAGCAAACACACTTTCTCAAATGAATCCTTTTTGCTAGATAACTTTCTGAAGATTCAAAAAGTACCGCCTTATTTCGGTGAACTTTTTATATTACTCGTAGCTACAATGATGAGCGTCTGACAATTATAAATTACCATCGCCTTCATCATTTCAGACCACCACGAAGCAAGATCAAGAGCCACTGGCATCCGCCAACCTAGGCCGTCAGCTTCAAAACCTTTCTTGTTCATCAGTTGTCGGTTCTTGACTATGAGTTAACAAAACATATGACTTATGCGTTACACTACCTCATCAACTACTCTGTTCGGGTCCAGACATGGTGAAGCGAGGATACTATTAAATGGAATAACTTCTTCTGATGGGAACTTCTTCTGTCAATTATTACTTGTAATTTTAGGCATTGTGATATGTCATATTTGCCCGAATATGTGGAAGTTGAGAGCTTTTGCATCATGCAGATGCGAAACCTTATTATTGAAAATGTTCAGTTATATTAATCGACCTAAACAATTAAATTAAGAAATTATTTTAAAAAATGACAAGTCGTTTTCTTAATAGATTCCTTAACGTGACGGATAAATTGCTTGGTAACTTCAAGTACTAAAGTATCAAAGTTTTTATGCTGGATATAACAATGGATGCGCCAAGCATTGCTTGAAATGCGAAAAAACAATGTAGATAAAGGACGTTGAGATTTTCATCGGTGTGGCATTCAGCCATCTATTTTTGTGGTTAAAGAGTCTGACCGTGAATCTTGAAGACGTGGTTTCCATTCCCACAGGCGGTGAAAAACTTTTCGAATTTTTTCCAGCACATTTTAATGTTTCATCTTAAGTGCACAGATTAGCACTATAAAAATTTAAATTCGCAATTTCTTGGTAAATGAATACATAGCTGATTATATTTAAATAAACTGCTTTACCGAACATTACCAAATTGACTATAAATATTATTATGTTGACTTTGTTTACTTGACTATAAATTATGTATTAGGTTCACTTTAAGTGTATGGCGTCAAATTTACAAATTTTTGATTAATTAATTAATTTACTAATTTGATTTTATTCAATTAAGTAGCTGTTTTAACTAACAACAATAGCTTGATTATACTCTGACTACTCACTTGCAGAGGGCATGGTTATATTATTAGGACCTCAATCGGACATTGTATTTGTTGAAGAACTGTTTTCAGTTAAATAGTCTAATTCAATCTTAGTAGAAATATATTATGTCAGTATTCGCTTCTCATATGAAACCTTACAAATTTGCTTTTTTATGACAATGTGTCATTATGTTATTATCCAGTTACAGCAAAAACATGAAAACATTTTGTTTTAAACTTTATAACATTTTTTAGTAGTTCTTACAGTTTCTGGTTGACAGTTGTTCCCGCTCTTTTGGTAATTTCAACTTCACTATTATATTTTAACTTCCACTATTACTTGAGTTTTCTGATGGCTATTCGATCTATTAATGTTCTTATATATAACCATTATTAAATTATTTTTAAAATAGATCTGAACTGCATGATTAAAAGTTTTAATACATTTTATGAATTAATACTATCAACGGTATGCTACGAAGTTAGTGTATTAATGTGGCAGTATTGGTAAAATGAAAGATAAAGTTAAAGTTGCGAATGCTTTATTTAGTGCATTGACCAATGAATGGGGATGGGGGTAGGGTTACAATTACAACCACACTTCGTCCGTTGGTTTAGTGTTTGCCGTAGCCGCCCAATCCGTAGCCACCCAAACCGTAGCTACCCAAGCCGTAGCTGCTAAGGCCGTAGCCGCCGTAGCCGCCGTAGCTGCCGAGTCCGTAGCTACCGAGGCTGTAGCCGGTTGAGATGATCGGCGTGGAGACAGTCTTCAGCACGGGGGCGGAGATTATCGGAGCAATGGGTGCGCTGATGATTGGCGCCGAAATCGTCTTGATCACCGGAATGGGGGCCGCCTTGATCAAGCTCGCGGTGGAGATCGCCGGCGCTGAGTAAATGATCGGCGCCGAATATCCTGGAAATAGAATATTTATTAAGGATTTGTTTTAATCCAGTGACAGTTAAACTTACCCCTGTAATCCTAATTAGAAAGATAGTAGTAGTAGACTAGTATGTAGGCAAACCCCCTGTGGAGCCTTAAGAAACCGACACAACCGCTATAGATCCAAATTATGAGTTCCAAAATAATGATTTCTTGAGTTTAACGCGATGTATTTCTTCATTGTCTTGCCCGTGATAAGTCAGCACTTATAATTGCAATCAAACATTTTACTGGTATAATCAACTTAAAATGAGCGCACATTAGTCATCCAGCTCATATTATAAGCTGAATAAAAGAGATTTTTTTTTCATTCAGAAAGAAATACAATAATAACGATTAACAGAAATCATTTTTGTGTCCTGTAGCAAAGTGCACACGACTTTAAACTTTTGCCGAATAAACAAATAATATGACAAATCATGTTAATTATATAAAAATGTCACACGATTAATAGTAAAAGGGGTAACGTAATAAACATTGATATTATTTAGTCTAAAATTTAATATAATCGGAGGCAAACCAAGTCCATATCCGCCATATCCGCCGTATCCATAGGGAGCGGCGTTAGCGACGGCCAACAGGCAAGCGACCTGAAAATAATAAAGAATCACAAATATATTATTACTCTAATTAGATGTTAGATTAAAAAAAATATATATGTTCAGTTTAACTGCGTATTAAATCTGTTAAACAGATGGCCATGTGGGTTTGCTTTCTTTTCAAACATAATATAATTTATCTTAAAGCATGCATGAAATAAATGGAAGTCATGCAAATAAAAAGACTTCTTTACTAATATAAGTTTTAAGGTATTCTTGGCTTTTACATCATGACCTTTATGGAATAATAATTATTATATATATTTGACAACTACTAGCTTAGTAAGAATGAGCGTAACTGACGGCTAACTGACTCCGCTAACTAAAGTATTAGTTTAGACTATGATATCGGTTAATTTACTTAAAGGAATTTATCAAGTGAGGCGCTCTATGAAAATTTTAATTGAATCCAATGAGAACAAGAATAAAACTAACACAAATAAAATGGTTACAAAAGGTTATAATGTAACGTTTAATTTCAGTTTGAACAATGAATGTCTACAGAGGACTATAATTGGCTTAAATGAATTAAATACACATATATAAAATATAACTTCTGAAAAATTCTAATGTTTTTATGTGTATAGATTTTGTAAGTATTTTTTTTATTCAATTCAGGTACATACAAATGTTGTTTATATTTATTTCTGTATTAAAAACGCTTCTCGGCTGTTATTTATCGAAAGTTTTACAAATATAAGATATCTCAAGTCAATATTAATTGTATAATGTTACATGTTACATCAAAACTCATCAAATATTGGAAAATAACTGAAGATCAATTATTAAATAACATGTATTCAAAACTAAATAGGTTTCAACTGACTGTAAATTGTAAACACAACAGTAGATACAACAGCTTCTAGTTTTATTATGATACGTTTCGATAGACTACCATAGACTGAAGTAATTATCCTATTGAAATCTCTATTTGTCACGGCTAATAATAAATTACAAAAAACAATTTAATGTGATTAACGAATACTTTGGAAAATTAGGCTTTGATATAAAATTAAATGTTTAAACGAACATATCAAAGTGATGTGTCATTTAATTGCAATTAAAAAGATCCTTACGAGATAGTTCATTATAATATAAAATGGAAAAAACTTTACTCTAAAGTAGTCAGGTAAGTTAATATGATACTACTAGCTGACCCGGCAAACGTTGTTTTGCCATATAAATTAATTGTAGGGTAGAAAAAAATGTTTGGGGTGGACCACCCTTAACATTAAGGGGGATGAAAAATAGATGTTGTCCGATTCTCCACCCTGGCCAATATGCACACAAATTTTCACGAAAATCGGTCAAGCCGTTTCGGAGGAGTTTAATTACAAACACCGTGACACGACAATTTTATATATTAGATTAATATTAAAGTAATACTTGAACGTTTCATAGGACAATTATTGTTCGTCGGTGGTAATACTTGTGTTACTTACGGCGATGTAGGCGAACATGTTGCTGTGATTCCTTCAGACGAAGTGTACTGATCGATCGAAACGTCCACAGTATATATAGCTAGGGCCCGCTAGGCCGATTTCCCGCGCGTACCGAAAACCGAACGAAATTGTTAACGTTCGCACGCGATGTATGCAATACGGAACGGGTTGCGTCGATTAGCATCGGGCGTCCTTACCAGCGCGTAGGGCCGTGTTGCGGTATCGCGGGCTGTTCGTTTCGCGTTTTTTTTTTTTCCGATGCTTACGTGCGTTCTTGCAACGCACCAGTTCCCGAACTAAGTGCTCCTAACATTGAACTAAGCGATGACAGGTCTATACGTAAAGTATCGCACTCTTAACTCGTGTTGTGCGCTTCGATACTAAAGTGATAGTACAAAAGCCAGGTGGTTCTATTTAGTATTGCACTCAGGTGGTAGGGCCACGAAACAGTGTTCACTGCTTCACGAATTGCATAAATGGGCTGGTTCGTCCGGGTTAGTACCACGTCCTCACAGAAGACCGGCGTAAAGTAGAAGTGTCACACTTCTGCGTTTCGTATGGTGAGTGAGGTAGCCGGGGCTCGATTTATTTAAAGGTTGCAACGCATTTGCAACCCTACAGGTGTTGCAAATGTCCATGGGCGGCGGTGATCACTTAACATCAGGTGAACCGCCAGCTCGGCTGCCACTTCCTCACATAAAGAAAACTCTTCACACGTCTTGTCTGCTTCAATATGAAATTGACAGTTCATAATGTTTCACAGTGTATACGACCCACGGTTGGGCAAATGCCTCCTGTGCGGAGGGAGACTTCACATACCTTCAGAAAAAAATTGTTTTAGTACTTCAAATAACATCCAAAACAAACTATCGCAATGGTTCCTGTAGTAGCGGAACCGACAGACGTTGCCTTTTTCATCATTTCAAAAATTTCACCAACTCGTTCCAGCCGTTTAGAAAGATTAAACATATAAAGATATTTAGATATACATATTGTTTATAAATCAGCACTTATAAACAATTCACTATTGCATTCGTTCAAGATTTTAACTTGGGTTTGTCAAGTATACTTAATTAAGAGCCCGCGTATACTTTACTAGGTTACTACACTTTTTAATACGTGGTACAGTTTTCTTTAAAGTAAAATCTGCTGATTTCAAAATATAATATACAAATATTTTTAACATATACTCCAGTGGTACTATAGTGGTAAGTTATCAAGAACAAAACAATAAGTTTCATACCGAACTCACCATATACTCGACTTAAAGTGGAGAAGACCTTTAATTAAAATTTTTAATCTTTACATGGGACTGGCAACTGTTCATGGCAGACATATTGGAATAAGTAAAATTATTTGATAACTCCGTGGCGCAGTTGCCAACGTATTGGATTCGGTGTCGGGGGTCGTGGGTTCGATTCCCACACGAAAACTATTTGTGTGACCAACAGATAGTTGTTTCGCATCTGGGTGTTCGTCCACGTGAAATTTATGTTTGTAAAACGTCCTTACAACACAGGATAATGTTATCCTAAAGTAAAGGCAATGTTTTTTAAAAAAATAAACAAAAAAGAAAAAGAAGAAAGAAAGGAAGAAAAAATGAATACAAGTATATACAAGCTATAAAAACCTTTAGAATCAAAATAGAGCATTATCGCCAGGTGCTCTAATAATTTTATTGATCATCTTTCATCACGTTGCTACATCAAACGTGAACGTGTAACGTGATCTCATAACGTTATGAGAGATGAAAATACCTCTCTCAACATATTACCAATCAATCCGCCCAAGCTATAGCCGTCGCGATGTATATCACGAGCGTAATATCAAAGAAACTCTCGCAATCTCCGGGAGCGTATCTCGAGTTACGAGCTTCCCGAATGCCTTAACTACGCTAAATTACCCCGCCTTGGATCTTAACGGGGCGCCCTGGGGAACAGGGAATCGTTTATAGCCGAATTAAGTGTGTGGGTTCGATCCCCACTACTGGAAAAATATTGTGTGATGAGCATAGTGTTTTTCTAGTGTCTGGGTGTTTATATACGTATAATGTGTATTTATTTACAAAAATAAAAGTATGTTTAAGTATGTCTATCAGTTTTCTAGTACCCATAGCACAAGCATTGCTTAGTTTGGGACTAGAGAATGTTGTGTAAAAAGAACGTGTCCTAATAAAAAAACGTATTCCCTCCGATGCGTCCGTAAGGAATCGGCTTGACGGGTTTTAAGTGCGTTTTACTTAAATGTGAAAAGTTTGTTGAGCGAGCGGGCGGTTCACCTGATGTTAAGTGATAATATCGCCCATGTGCATTTACGCTCAATCCGGCGCTCGCTTTCAATTCAATATACTCGAGCAACCTGAGTTCGATCCCTGGTGTCGGCACCAATAAAATTGTTAATTTTAAATATCACATGCTCAGCGGTGAAGGAAAACATCGTGAAGTCCGCCAATTCGCAGTGGGGCGTGGTGGTGGTGGAGGAGGCCGTTCCCCAGCAGTGGGACATGTGTAGGCTCTTATTTTAGTTTTTAATTTAAACAATGTCTTGTGACTTGTGTCTCTTGAAAAACTGACCGGATAATTTAGAATTATAGATATTTTTAGTCCGTGTGTCTATCAGTAGATAACTGAGGTACTTTCACGAAATGCGTCTAAGACACATGATGTCTTTGTCTTAAATGAAGCTTACTTTAATAAATAAATGAAATTTAACTCAAATCTTACATGTGGATCTCAAAAAGTTATCAAAAAGACGACCCGAATGGCGTAGTAAGTAGTGCACTTGCCCCCTGCGCCAGAGGGTGTGGGTTCGAGCCCCGCTACTGGAAAAATATTGTGTGATGAACATAGTGTTTTTTCAGAGTCTGGCTACAAAAGAAAAGTATGTTTATCAGTTATCTAGTACCCATAGTACAAGCGTTGCTTAGTTTGAGACTAGAAAACGTTGTGTAAATAAATGTGTCCTAAATTATTTTTTATTTTATTAAAGAAGCTAAATATAAGATTGTCACAGTCTCAGTAATTCATCATACTCCACTAAGCCTTTTTAACCTGCTCTAGCATCTGCAAGTCTCTCATATCTTTTATATATTTTTTTTTTTTTATTTTATTTTATTTTATTAGGAAAACTTACAGCAAATTAGGTACTTATTTTAAAACAATATTGTAACATATATAAAGAGCCAGTTACAAGTTTCCACCTTTAGTACATAATTATGTTTTAAAAAAAAAAAAAAGTCGAGCAAGTGATGAAAGAAAAAAAAGATGATAAAAATGAATAAATAAAAAAGGAAAAAAAAACTTAATACATAAATCAAATTCAATTCTTAGTAATTAGTTAACCATCTTTAGGAAAAATACTGCTCTGTTAAAGTTTTTTTAGCCACAGTTGGAGAAGTAAAGAATGGGTCGATATTTCGTGCATTAATAAATTTAGCAGTCCTAATCATAAAATAATTGCACCTGTAATTCGTATGAGCTCTGGGTATGTAAAGAAGTCTGCGGTTCCGGACCCCAGGGCTGCAGATGCGTTGACAACCTTTTGAAAATTGGGCTCCGGCTCACTCACCAGACGAAACGCGAAATTATTTGTCACACTTCCGCTTTACGCCGGCCTTCAGCGAAGTCGTGGTGTTTACCCGGACGGGCCTGCATATTCGTGCAACAGCTGAGGCCGCTGCGTGGCCCTACCACCATAAATTTCATATCAAGATCCCCAATAAAAAAAACCTCTTAACTTATTCGTCAGTTTCACACAAACAATCATTTTTTCAGTTGTTTCAGTTTCACCAGCCTTTAGTATCCATCATCCAGCAATCCCTCAATAATATTTTTCTATAAATATATCCAGGCAGTTTGGAACTTATTATTGTACAATAAAGATTATAAGACATGTCTTTCCTGCAATTGCAAATTCAGAACAAAAGGGCGATGACCCACGATATTATTTTGCACGCAACTATTAAAATTTCTAATTATCCTTCATTAATCTAATGAATAGCAAACGTATATCGACTACGTCACACAGACATTTGCTTCCATTTCCGTTCCGTTTTGTTTCTTTAATAATGTCCATCCGCCCGATTTAATATCCTGTCTTTATTGCTTATTACTTCAGTGGTGAATTATTCGATTTAAAAAGGTAAATGATAGTTAAATTTATAATTATCTAACACCTTTAATGCGCAATATATATATATATCTATAATCGGAATCTCGGAAACGGCTCCAGCGATTTTCCATGAATATATATAGGTTTTACTTTTAGAAAAAAGATTTAAAAAATTAGAAAAGTCTTTTAATCCCTGTTTTCAGGGAATGAAAAATATCATTCGAATATGACGGTAAATTTCGCTGAAAAAAAATGTAATAATATGAAAAAATGTTATATAATGCTCGGTCGGTAATCGGGCGGCCCCTATCGAAGGCCACGATTCGGGTCACGATCACTTACACACTTACTTTTTTACTTTTTTCTATACCAGATGATTGCTTTCTTTATTTTTTATTTTTTTATTTCCAAAGTACACGATTTACCAAAAAAAGAAACCGAGCAAAGCTCGGTCCTCGATATACTTTAATGATAAAAAATCTAGGTAATACCGTTAACAAACGTTATTCAAATGTTGTGCCGACCACACATATCTAGGTGTGATATGGATAAAAGAAGAACGGATTGCTCGTTGGTTATTGTCAAAGTATATATGAATTTAGGCAGCGTCATCGATCCGTGGAAGTTGTTATTTCTAGCTTCAGCACTATAGTCACCAAAATGAATACCGAAAAAGAATTTTCACTGTGGTAGGGCCCCGCACCAGCTTCTGCTATTACACGAATGGGCATCGACCGGGGAAGCACCATGGCCTCACAGAAAAGCAGCGTGAAGCGGATGTATTTTGCTTTCGCATCCGGTGACTGAGGTAACAGGGGCCCACTTTTTAAGGGTGTCAACACATCTGCAAGCTCTCAGGGGTCCATGGCCGGCAATAATCGCTTAATATCAAGTGAACCGCTTGCTCG